ACCACATAAAGTGAAAAGCTTTATTAAAACGTGGTTGAAACAACACCCAAAACCCAGGTTTAGAGGCGTCGGGTCTTCGTTACATGCCATAATGAATATTCGGCGTAATGGGCAATGTTTGCCTTAATTCGGTCGATCAAAGAGTTTCTAGCCTTTGCCGTGTCACGTGGCTGCAATTTGATCTAATACCCATGCCCTTGTTGCTGTTGGCATTATCCGATGACTGCGTCGCGATGGTTAGTTTCTTTCTTTTACAAAGCCGCACACTGTCCCACAGAAGTTGGTAATGTGTTCGGCCATTACGGAACGTTTGAGCCGTTGTTCTCTGACGGTTTTGAGATGTAGCTTTGATTTCTATGTGATGTTGATGTTCACTGGCATGCGTCAAACCTCTGTACACGACCTCACTATTGCAGTTTGGAATTCCGAGTTATACCTTGTGCTGATTAATATTCTGGATAGTCATCTATCAGGTGGTCAGGGCATGAACAGCCACAAGAGGTGCTCACACTGGACGACATGGCTTTACACCTCGCACGATTTTTTTACGACCACATTAGAACACCGTGCTGTCCGCATTTATTCGCATGTAAGCGACTTGCTAGCCGTTTCTAGGCTGAGTTGCGCACAACCAACGTTAGGTGAATTCCTTGTTCAAGGGAATTCGCTGTAAAGACAGTGATTGTTCGTTCGGTGCACTCGAACTCGGCACCTCCGGTGTTCGAGACCGACCTCTTACTATTATGCCACCAGGCCTAACACGTTCTACTGTGGTTGCCGTTTCTCGTACGTTATCCACAGATACATGATGTACTTCATTCGTATCGATTTTGTATTTTCTTCCCTGAATGAGAGTTAGAAAGGTGAATTACTGAATATTTGACTAAAATTATATTTACATTTTGGGAAACTTGAAGCTTCTTGTAATTTTATAGCTGAAAAGGATTATTGAATGTGTAGGAGACAAGTAGTTTAGAATGATTAACTGCTAACTCACCACAATTAATTGTGGCTTAAAATTTACTGAATAATTATATTATCAACTTGAGTTTCGTTGTTAAAAATTCGTTGTTTAAAAATTCATTAGAAAACATAATGGAGCAACCTGTGGCAAACAGCCTAATACACTGAACATCTTTGCGACTCGTGCGTAGTGGAGGTTCTGGTGAAGAACTCTGATGTACTGCTAAGTATATAAAGACTACCAGCTGCTGAAACACATCGTTTTTAATGAGAGCGAGATGGCTCTAACGAAAAAATTGCTGCGATATAAGAAATTCTACGGAGCTGTGCCCATGCTAAAATGGTTTCCTAGGCAACTAAAAGCAAGGGACGGTGCAGTACGCCTGTGAAATACGGTCGTGGAAGTGGTATGGTTTATTTGAGGGTAGAGTTGTGTCTTAACTCTGAACATTTCACTTTACGCGGTGAGTGAAAACTGGACTGTTTCCTGCTGTAGCGTAAGAAGAGCTAGTGTTTGATGTTTTGAACAGCTCGTCGAACAAGAATTCAAGACGAATCTCACAGGGATAAGTGGTGCATTTCCGGAGAAGAAGATGAAGACGAAGAACCTGGTCAAGTGACCACGGAGAGTACTTCTTCAGATGTAGGATCACCAGGCCATCGAAGCGAAGTGCTCACTGCGTCGATATGCGACTCTTCAAGCCAGATGATTGGCCAGCACTTGTGAAAGAGGGAAGGAAATGAAATTACCCGCTTTTATTGATTGGCGCAGACGATGTTATGTGACGCTTAGCAACGGGATTGTCGAGAAACGTCAGCGAACGGGCGGATCTCAAGGCAGCTACCGGTATCACTCGTGAAAGCGCGTCTCACAGCTGATGGTGGAAAGAAAGATTGGTGTCAGATCACCGTAAAGAAAGAAGACCCTGTTGCTGGCCGGTCGCAATGGAGTCTTTGCGGGAGAAGTTCATGATTGCCGATTCTGAGCAAGAAATATGTCCAACTGTGAAACGGAGGAACAGACCCTCGGCGTGCTGCCACACCGGTAATCTTTTGACATGCATCGGCTGTTCGGACAACAACGTGGCATTTTCGAACTTCCTGTTTGGGATGTTGGCTGTTTTGATCCAACTGTCTTCGCTATGTTCCAATCACTGGTTTTACACCATAGAACCACGTGCCGCCGACGGTACCGACGAACGAGGAGATCCGAAGGTAACTGCATGTTCTGTTCAAGCCATGACGTTCTCAAAGAATCTTTGGACAGCTTGGAATTGTATCAAGTTTCAGCTGTGAGTTTATCTTGGAGGATTTGACCATAATTCGCCGCGCTAACCAGGCGGGTTGGTGAGTATTGCCTCTTCCACTTCGGCTGGTATGTCTATCAAACTTCGAGGCTCGGCTGTACGTCATGTTGAGAATCCGTTTTCGCTCTCCTGCCACGTTCAGGTGTTAATATTTTTCGTCAGTGGCACTTTAAACCGAGAACTTCGGCTTTACCTAATTAATTATAAAATTTCGCTAAACATTGCTAAAACCGTCAGCACAACATTCTTCTTAGGCTGCGTTGTGTTTTGCAGCAGTTACTTTAATATGTAAGTTTTATTCACGCTGAAGCTGCGTACACCGATCAATGAATACATCATCGAATGATGTGGAATACATTGCCGAGCAAGTCGTTTTCATTTTCAGACGTGTGCAGTCAAATCCAGTTCGAATGAGGGCTGTATGAGTGGTTAACAGTTAAGTATGAAGTCCACCAGGGAGATGCGCTTTCTCTTTGCTATACGACACTGTTCTCGACATTTTCCTTCATGACTGGATCATACGGAATGTAATGGAACAGGATGAGCGACACGGGTTCAAAATTCCATGATGGCTTCTCGTCTTTTGGTGTCATTATCATGATCAGAATTGTTTTATGAGGCTAAAGGAGGTCTTTAATTTCTTGAATATCATCTCTCAGTTATCCTGTCGCTTGGCAATTTTGCATAAACTTCCTGTTCTTTGTATGGATTACACTTAGCAAACGTATAGATGATGGCGAGATCTTGTCACAGTCCCTGCTTGAACTTTATTGATCTTCATCGCTATCCGTTGGCGATTGATTTCACTGGTGTTTTTCGTCACCTGACTGGTGTTTTTCTAATAGCTCTTGTCTGCCCATGACTATGGCTGTCATTTTAACGGGACCAGCTTTCTGCGTATTTGCGTTAAGGCGCACCGCATTCCGCAACGGAGCTCACCCTTTGCTTCGTTGCCATGAGTCAGATGACTTAGCCGAACATGCTATGTCAGGTTGACATCTGACTTCGCCGGCTCTCACGGTCTGACATTTCGGTGCGGCTGAAAAACACCTATGAAAAACGCAGGGCGTGACGAATGACCAGAAATCCTCAGGCTCAGTTAGTATTTAATTTGTTGTTTTTTTTAAAAATCGCTTTAACGAAATTAATTGCTTGAGCAATACCTCATACCGAGCCAATTGCTGTTATGGATCATACGATAGCCTGTGAGGTAATACTCTGAAAATTTCCCAGGTTGACTTTAACAAGGAAGTTCCTTGATTGTACATGCTACAACGCCTTCGTTCATTAGAAGCCATCCCGTAGACGATTAGGGAATATTCAGTGCAGGCAACAACTTACGGCTGATGTTAGTGAACGATCAGCATTCAAGTGTATCACTAATTTTTATCAACACTTCTGGTAACCCAATCAATAGTAAGATTAGTGCAAAGTCGTACTTAAGTCGTATAATGAGTCATCAAAGAACGAGAAATGTAGAATGAGTCATGATACAGCAATAAAGAGTAGACAACAGAATAACGTGCTGAATATGGCATAGTAGCAGAATTATTATATTCAGAATGGCAATATAAACAGAATATGAATATAGTACTGTTGTTACTATCCCACATCAATAAAATTTAAATGTCACAAATACGGCTAAAGCAGCAACGGCAGAAATATGAGATAATAAAACAAGCAAATAAGATTGGAACACAACAAAATGAAGATATAGCGAGTGGATTATTACAGTCTGAAGATACGATGGTATTATCGCCCAGAGCTGCGAAGATCTTAGTAAGTTTACGCAAGACTCAGATGGCAAATCTCAGTCTGTATGAATGTCGTGACTCTCTGAGACGTGGTAACCGGCAGCCATTATAGATATCGTTAGAAATCTTCCTGCAGAGGATTAGTGTTGCAATTGAAAACATTATTGACTGCAAATATATGTGCTGTCAGAAGTGGCTTGATTAAATACATGGCAAATCATGCTATTTAGAGTCAGAGTGTCGAGCACTGTCGCGAGAACTCACCTCAAGGCCTTAAAATCACATTCCAGAAGGGCATGACATACAATGGTCAAAGCGCATTTGTGCAGTGGTGGGTTGGATTTCTGATCACATGACTGAATGGGATAAAGCTCCTTGAGTAAGTCAACGAAAAGGAAGCCAGTGATTTAGCACATTCAGTTTGCATTGCAAGATGCAAAGAGGATTAAGTTACCTGGTGTATTTGATGCACAGATCGATCTGTTATATATGAGAAGTCAGTGAAATGCAAGCTAAACAATCTTTTCTCTTCTACTGATTATTACTGATAGGTACTGCGTGATACTCACTGAGGTATTAATTACGATCAGGTTAGTAGTAAATGATCAACATGCTAGTAACTGCTGTTTGGAATGAATCGTTTTGGCACACGCTGTTTGGCGACAGAGATATAGTTGTTGTGATGGCTCGGTAGTATTGTGCAACAAATATTTGATTTAACACATCATGTCGTATATCATCCTTTGCTTCTCCAGTCTGAGAAGTCACTGCTGCGATCGTTTGCCCATGTGTTGTGAATGTCTCCAGAAAGGAAAGCTAAGCATCAGTTCCTTGCAAATCCGGCAGGCAGAAGGCTCAGGAGACGGCCAAGATTATCCTGGTGCAAATATATGGAAGGAGTCTGTTTCAGACTCCAGCTGTTTTTTGCCAAAGCTCAGACTCTGACACAGGATCAGGAACGTTGGAAGCTCTGTCTGAGGCGTCTGCCTCCGCAACTCGAGAGGAGAAGCGGCCATGGAAGATGATTCAATAGAAATCTCTCTGCTAGCGATTATGCGCGGTGTCATTTTCAAAGATGTCAATATATGAACACCTGTTCCATATGATAACTGTGCAGAGTCATTCGGTCACTGCGTAATCGTACGGTCGCGGGATCCCCGCTGACACATAAATACGTCTTAAGTAATTGTTGGTTGAATGAGCTAGCGCCGGTGACTGCGGTTGCGAGTTTCAATCAATTACCTCACCTCTCACAGTAGGTCTGTTTATGCGTCCAATGTCCTAGGTGCAAGACTTTGGCAGAAAAAGTGTGATTCTGGATAAGTTATGGAAATGAGATTTTTTCTAGGGTTACTTGTGTGTCAAAGCCCAAAATGTTTTGGAACACAACAGTCTGACATACCCTCGCTTTCGAGTTGCATCTTCTCCAGATTGGCAACTTATAGCTGCGATTGTCTACCCAAGTGACCCTGGTCCCAGCTGGGAGAACCGTGCGGTACAGTCCTTATCACAATTGCACTGAAGGTTGGTGATTGCAGTTAGAGGGCGCAATGACTTCAGGGTACTGAACACGTGCATCGTACACCGAGTTTGCCAGATATGCGAACGACACGGCCGAAGCCATCAGGGAAACGCACAAAACTGTTGGCCTTGCGATCCGGAATGGGTGGCAGACTTTCAAAATAAATGAATTAATGAAGCAACAGCTGACTGAAAGAGGGAAAACAAACGAATGAATGAAACGAATATAAAACACTTT